TTATAAATGCATACTGATATCAAATTTCATTAAAATATGTCCATTAGGCTTTCAGAAATTTGACATAATGTGCAAATTCTCTTAACTACGAACACGAATGTATAATTGACCTCCTTAAATAAAAGAATATATTCTGCGCTATGTGACTTAAGAGAACTCTGCTTTAATTATGAATCAACTAATCTAATTTAAAATACTCAAGCATGGTAAATCCGAGAAACACTGATCCTAGATCTTCCGAAAGTGTTCATTGGTGCTACTGTTCTTCGATGTGGATAAAGATTTGAGCAAGATCCCTCTTTTGGGCAGGGCTTAATTTTTCAAATTAGAATAAAGTTTAATTTCTGAAATTAGCCCTACGGAAGGTCGTCATAAAAAATAAAAAATAAATAAATAACTAATTAAATAACTAATAGTTGAAACAATAAAATAATTAAATTAAATTATATAAAATGTAACAACATAAATAAAAATAACATATTATTATAATAATGATAATTAATTAAACAAAAACATTTCGGACCTCGTCTTCCTTGGGTCTCAACTTGAAATTACAGTTTTACTCGAGAAATTGAGAGTTCAGCTTTCGTCTGGCCAACTTTAAATCCTGAATATAGGGTTTAATTCACTAGCAACAACACCATTCTTTAGAAAGCACACCAATAAAATAGGTCAACCGATTAAAGTCTCACTCATTAGAATAGATAGAATACGAGAAGCAGTATGATAGCAATGAGAACAAACGAAAGGCTTTACGTATATAAGTATTCCCTGCATTTGGTTATTATTACGTATCTACTGCATTACGTATTCCCTGTATTTGGTTACATCGTTCGAAAAGTCTGGAGGAGCTCTGCAGTGGACGTGCATGACCAGGCTAATCATTTTTAGTAATTTTACTAATGAAAAAAGTTACCCTGTCTTATTACCTATCATAAATTCATTGCGTTTTCTCGAAACTAAGCTTTTATGTGCGTGGAGGCTTTTTCAGTCAACCTTCATCAAACTACGAAGGTGGATACAAAAAAAGGCTACAAGGGTAATAAATAATTATTTATTAATGATAGACAGAAAATACAAAAGAAATTAAAAGGCATAGCTGCTTATAATTCCCCCCCCCGTAATCACCAAATCTATTAAGGCATTTATCTGAACGCAGGACCAACTTGTTTAATACGTCTTGATGGAAATCGCTCCCCTGCCCACTAAGCCATTTCTCGGTGACTGTTATCACATCACTGTCTGAGCAGAACGTCATTCCAGATAAATGTTCCTTCAATTTCGGAAAAAGAAAATAGTCACTGGGTGTTATTAGGGGAGTGACTCCAGACTTCCCGCTTTTGCAGCAATTGTTGAGTTTGCAGCAGGATTCAATGCAGAATGATGACACCATCACTCAACATACCAGAGCACTTGCGTTGGATGGCTTCATGTAACGTTCTCTAAGTGGCACAATAACGATCTACAGTAAATGTATGACTACCCTCTAGATACGAGATCAAGACAACGAATCACAATTCACACCTCCAAGCGAGACCACTTGACTAAAGGTCCTGCCATTTCAATCGCTTTGATGAATCTTCCAACTTAATCTACCTACCCGCATAACCGCTGTTAGACAACTAGTGCAATCTAGCTACACTCTGGGGATGAAGTGCTCCCTCCACAATAATTACTTTTCAAATGTTGATGCTTGTAAATTTTTTTTTTTACATCCTCTTACGTATTAGTTCCTCAGGAAAGAACAGGTACAGACGCAGAAATCAGAATTCATCTTTAAGGCCTACTTATTATTAAAAAAGTCTGATGTATAAACCACATGACTTCCTTGTACGTAATATTACATTATACGCATTTTTCTTGTACTTCGTTTAAACTTATAGCATTGAATCAAATATACTTCGTCGATAGCGCATAAACCACAATAGAATAAATGCACTCTTTAAAATTCACTATATTTGTTTACCATAGCGACACTCTGGCCCTAGGTTCACTTAACAGTGTTACATTTCATTCATTTTTAACTCAGAACGCACAAAATTTATATCGCCTTAAGAATTATCCCATCGTTGCCACATGTTCTATTCAAATACTATATAAATCTAAAACGATGTATAAAAGAAATTAAGGAAAGAAACCAAAAAAGAGCACACACACACACACACACAGAAAAAAAAATTCACAGTATTTCGTATTCAATTAATTCACTTCTCAGTTCGCGACAAGGCAAAAATACATTAAAACTCAAGATGTCTGCATTGAAAAAAATTATGAAGTAAATCTTAAACACTTATTTCCTCGAAAAATTCCAGAATGGATTAAGCGTGATTTAATTCGCAATAATAAAAGAAGGCGCTATCTTTATTATTGCAAAGCTTAGTTTCTCTAGATTGGAAACAAATCAACTATTCTGCTAAGTTTCAAATGTAAAAAATATGGCCGCGATATAAAAATAATTAGGCTTAGCCGCACTTAAACATCTTTTAAATTGTTGAAATTCGGCAAATATTGCATGCAGATTTACTAAAGGCATAAAACCTTAATCGAAAGATAAGAACAACATAGTTCAATCATTTTTAAAGCAAAAAAAAAAAAAAAAAATGTACAATTTACAAACATATAAGAATAAAGAAACTGATATCACTGAGTCGAGTAAAAGCGTGGATATACATATATTTATATACTTTTGGTGCGACCGATTGCAACCAAAATACGAGGTGCACATCGACATGTTATAGCAGTCCTATATACAAAATTTCAACGTTTTGAGGCTACTCGTTTTTGAGTTATGCGAGATGCGTAAGTACGTACGCACAGACGCCACAAAAAATTCTCTTCAGAATTCATTTTAAATAAGTTTATATTTTTTTTTTGGAGGAAAAGTCCTTTATTCTGTCCTTACGTACAGATATTACGCAAAAACACCATTAAATTGTATTCGATAGCTGTCAGAAGGATATTTTCGTTGGAATATGATACCTGAAATTTTTCGCGATAGCAATACTTCCTTTTTACTTCGTACAACGAAGTAAAATTGGTTTTGCTCAAATTATGGTTAATTTTCATAAAAGAAGTGCCGGAGTCTTTTCATTAAGGCTCCGGTGTGGTCCACGATAAATTTGAAAAACTGAAAAGTCCCTAATGGGCTCCAGCTCAATATAAGTTCTGCTTTTTGGTATAAATTAAGAGAAAATATATAGTAATAATTCTAAAGCTAGAGAAAGTAATATCTAAAATACATCATACGCATGTATTTTAGATATTACTTTCTCTAGCAATTTCAAAATTATATAAAAATACATCATATACATGTATTTTTATATTCCCGTGTCTGCAGAAATCTTTACTCGACCTTTATTTTTGCAACCGTTTAGAGCAGATATATAGTTTCAGTTATAAAAATGATAAAAATGTTTATATGATGCTAAAGTACATGTTTTTAAATTTTTACACACAATAAATAAATAAATAAATTTTATGAAATGTGAAATCTAACATTTTACACTTTCGTCCGGTGCCTATATTTATATTTAGAAAACTTTTGTACTCGTTATAAAAAGACGACACACAAAACGTTTGACTATCATATGACAAAAATTTACCGAGATATTTGATATTAAAATCGAGAACAATATTCAGGGATTTTTCAAAATATGAAAACCGAAATGTTCATATTTTTAGTAACTAAAAGTAAGATATGGTTTAGAAAACTATTTGTGGTGTTAAGAGATTACGTGACGCACATTTCTCTGGAGATTATTGTTAAAAATACTGATAAGCATTACTTTTTCATTACTTTTTTTCAAAATGGGGATCTTATTTGCAAAATATTCTAGAATTCGTGTTTCGAAAAACACTGGAAAACTATGGACACGTAGTCAACATGTGAAATTACTTGAATTAATTAAAAATGAAAACGTTTTGTATTTTCATGAATATTTTGTATGAGTACCAGATTATAATTCTTAAGTAATAAAATCTCATGAAAATGTTATTTTGTATGTATTTTTAGACTTGAGTGAATTACGTAGGCGAAAGTTTAATCAGTATATCAATTGTAACAAAAATATAAATTAAATTTACTAAACCACATCAGACTATCACTGAGTGGGTTTAAGAGGAAATAAAATAAAAAAAAAAAAAACTTCGAACAAATTCATTTATTCTAATTTTCAGTATTTCTAATTTATTTATCAACCGATGCATCAGTACAATTTCAAAATTACGAGTATATCAAATATCGCAAAATTTGAAATTAAATAGCTTGGTCGCCTTTTGTCGTACAAGAGTACAAGATATTTGGTTTTACAACAAATACAAAATTTTTCTGAGTACAAGTATAGTGACAGGAAGAACGTACAAGAAGCAGATTTCGTATTAATATTTTTAGTTTAAAAATACAAAAATATGAACCTTTCCCTCATTTAAAAACATTTTTGTGATTTAAAGCATATGACCAATGATTGCAAAAATAATGGCCTAGTAAAAGGACTTTTCTGGACACCGTGTATAAGTATATCAAACCCTGATAATCATGGGGGATATTCAGAAATTTGCTGCTTAAGTGACACATTTAACTTCGGATCACTGTCATAAAATTATTAAATATTACATTTTACACTGAAATGTACTCAGATCGTAGCTAAAATAACTGAAGAATTATTGAAGAGTTAATTTAGGAACGGATATGTATTTTTTTTATAATTCTGCCATATTGTTCGAGGATATTTATTTTAATAGCATTGAAACTGCAGTATAATTATAAATATATAATGCTTGGCCTTAAATAAATCTTAATTAATGATTTAATAGATTGAAGTCTGCTTTAAAACATTTCTCAAAGAAAGTTTAGGTAAAGCGTTAAACTGAAATGAGATAAATGAAAGAAGGATGAAGATGGTAAGAATTACAATTTTATTTATTAAGACCTTGAAAAAAGCATTAAACAGAATAATTGAGCAAATATTTTACGAACATGGAAACGTAAATTAAGTTCTTACCTGATTGCAGAAAACCTAAAGTTTTCTATCTTTAATGTCTTCCATGGCCCTAGCAAAAAGCTTCGGCAGATTTCGAAAGCTTCTTTTTTCATGTCCTCCAGCGATTCATTATCGGTAAACATATTTATATTCAAAATAATGTCACAGGTATAAATATGATACTTATTTACACAAGAAGATTTCTGACTTCCTCTGGATAACCAAATTATGAGATATTTTATTGCAAATCAATTTCCTATTAAACAATGTAAAGGAACTGAAATTTTTCCCTAATTCTAAATTAAATTAAAGTATAATTTAAGATAACTGTAAATCCTATCATAGCAGAAAAGAGTATTTCGAAATTGCGCTGGTTCTCAGTTATAAGAACAGGTATACTTCATTTAACAAAGTGTATGCTATGAAGTTAAGGAAAATTCAAAATATTGCTCAAGCAGAAGCGATGCAATTTCAAAACGTAGTTGCTTTGAATAATCAAGCTGCAAATAATAAATTAAATATCTTAAGCAGAAAGCACCTAACTTTTAAATTCAACAATTCAATTCTTGCATTTAAAATGGGATATATGATTAACATCTCAGTGATGATAACTTGGGTTCTGGAAAGGTTATCTCTAAGCTCTCCTTCATAAACACCTTTCAAAGTACATTATCCAATTCTTTAAGTCTCTAGATAACAATTCTCATTCTTATTAAATCTACACGCCAAAACCGTAAATGCGGTGAGTTTGAGATATGAAGTATAGCGATAAGTAACGTATTTATGCAAGACGTAGAGCATCAGAAGTCAAAAGATAAGATTCAAGCGCTTGGGATAGGTATATACGATCCACTGCTTCTGAGAAATGTAAATAATGTTAAAAATATTTCTGAGATAATAAAAGAGGCCTCAAACTGTATATTTTGCACTTATATCGTTGCACTGGGAGACCTAGAAAGTTCCGCTAACAAGATACCATCATAAAAATATCTTGAATAAACTAGAAAAATATCAGACAGTTATATATATTGAAACTATTTATTGCAAATCTCCCGGTATACCAAAGATTGAGGTCTTTGTCTGATACATATCGGGCCTTGCACCCTATATCCCCAATACCTTAATACAGTAAAATCCCTGTTCGGATCCAGTTGATCAGTAGTATCAAAACAACCGCACTTTAAACGAAATCCAAAATTTAGGCCTATGAAATAAAGAAGTATGTAATAGGTTTTCGATCTGAAGGAATATGGAAATAACTTATGTTATACTTCTGCCGCACGAAGTAAGAAGTTTTATTCAATCTATGAATTATCCAGAACATCAACACCAACTACCGAATCCTTTTCACGTGTAGAAGCGTGAACGTTGAATGTAGTAGTGTGCACGATTTTCAGAAACAATTTACACTGAAAGACGCGATATTTGCTTAAGCTGTTGTCTGGGAAAACATTATTTTAATGTTCTTTTCAGGAAAAGAAATCAAAAGATGTAAGAAAGAAAACTTTAAACAAATTGCTTTAAACAAAGATAATAAAATATTGATTTACGTTGCTTTTGATGTAAACTGCGGCCCATGAACATGCTCGTAGATGATGAGTCGAGTGACAGATTCTCTTGGTTTTAATTCATGTCTAGTGATCCGCTTTTGACAAAATGAAAAAAGGAGAATTCGTGTCTTGACTTTTATGCTTCATAAAATTAAAAAATCTGACAAGGGTTTTTCGTTTCTCGAATCAGTTTCTTAATTTCATTTGACTTTCTCTAGTTTTGCAGTCAACTAAATTAGTATTTCTCTTTAAATAAGATTTTACAGTAGTTGAACACAGGATAGCGATTTGAATTCAGATTACTATTACAACTTGACGTTTATTTTTTGCTTTAATTTTTAATGAAATGGTTCAAAATGTTTACATCCATTTGACGACTGATGTAAATATGCAAGAGATTCATGCCTAGATGAAATTTTATAACAGGTAAGTTATTAAAATTACCAGTTATTAAAGACCAGATGTGCACTGCCGGCATTTATTAAAGCAACTGAAGTTCATTATCTTACCCGAATTTTGATTAAACAGAGTGAAACGGGAGCAAGTTATTTTTATGAATCTATGCAGGATACTTCCACACTAACAAATAGAAAGCCAACCTGTTCACGAGCTTTCAATTTTACATGGCCAGCAAATGGTGAGAATTTGCAGAAACAAGGAGGATAAAATGTAGTGTCGTTAATGTTGCAGAGATATGCAAACAGAGATAAAGGTATTACGGTAGGACCAGGAATAGCCAGCAAGTAAGGTATTTATTTATTTATTTATTTTATTTATTTTTTTTTTTGGTTGATCACAGCCGAGATGAAACCATTTTAATGCCCAAAGCAACTTAGATTATCCATAAAATAAGGGCCAGCGAAAAAATAAAATTAGAGATCTTAAGGTTAGATTAAAACCTCAAAACGTGTTACTGCATGATTAGCCATATTTTAGCAAAGAAATATAGAGTGTGTTTTGACGGGGAATTTATGAAAGAAACGTCCTTAAAAAGGCCAAATTTTTTTTTATGAAAACAAGACTGAAATTATTGTTGCAACTGAAGATCTATAATCGGCTAAAAGTACTGTGATGCGACGATTGAGAAATTGAGTCAAAATATAGCAGAAAATTTATATGAGGCGGCAGTTGGGGGAACGATTTTCTAAGTCAAGTAGAAGATTAGTAGTAGTCAAGTAGAAATAGTATTTAAGTAAGATAGTTTTAACACAATTTAAACGTTTCAATACACTGTTCGCTTCTGCGAAACTGGTGCCCTTGTCTGTGTAAATCGCTCTCGGCATACAATAAATCTTGGGATGCATTTACAGTCTATTTATGAATGTTTAATTCAAAGCATATTATTCTATTATGTATGCTATGTAATGTATATTTAGTTTTATCATGTAACTAAATATACATTACATAGCATACATAGCATAACAGCTGATATATAAAAGCTATATATTAGCTGTATACCCTCTGCATATCAACAGCATCTCTGGGTCGCTTTTTCAGCAGTGTAAAAGTAACTGCAATTTCTCAATTCAATAAACTCTCGATGAAGAATCTTTAGGGACCCTACAGAAGGCGTTGTCTGTAGGTAACGGCAAAGAAGAGGTACTACATACTTGCTCAGCATTGGTAGCCGCTTGGTGTCTCACCTTTCGTCATTCACCTACCTACCTTATAATGCTGCTCAGATGGAATAGTGGTTAATGACGTTGACTGCCCAACTGAAGGATTTACGTTCGAATCGTGGAGAAGGTACTGATATTGTAAGTGTATAATACTTGTGCGCCAAGGGGCGTTCAAAATACATAAAGAACCGAAAGTCCTGTTGATACGTTGGTGGTAGAGGAAGAGGGGTGGGAGGACCGCGGACCGCCCTTCGAGGTGTAATCCCTCAAAATTGGGGGTGGAAGTTTAACACTTAGCTAAGTTCATTAGTTCTGGACTATCCCAAATGAGTATAACATTTTTTAATGTAAGTATAAGAGCTGAAGAAATGTATGGTGTATATTTTCCGTGAGCTGTTATGTTTTTCACTGCTGTTAGTTATCTGTTAGTGTATATATTGTATATTTATATGGACTATTTTTTATATGTACATGTTTCATTGAGGCAAATGTTTCTGTATACATATTATGTTTCCGTAATGTGTAACTCTTTTCTATCTTTTGGCAACGCGAAATTTTCCAAAGTACATACTGATAACAATACCTACTTAAGATATTACGCCGACGACACGGCCCTCGCAGTTAAGTCCATGAGCACGGAAATTGCAGTCAGAAAATTATAAGACGTGATGTCACATATTAAGCATTGGTGTACCAAACGGCGAATAGCCGTTAATTCACAGAAATCACAGCTATAAATTATTAGCAGAAAACTGGCCAGTACACCACTAAGTGTTAAACTCCAATTTTTTAATGTAGAGGGTCCTGCAGTTAAAAACAACTTATCTGGGAGTTGTATTCAGCAAGAAATTTACATGGACGGGCCATGTTAAAAATGTACGACGGAAACCAAATTATATACTGCTATAATCAGACTAATACTTCCATATGCATCTCTTGCATCAGCAGCAGTCTCAGAGAAGGATGTAAATGATTTAAAAATCATTGCAAAATATTTTTTAATGCACATTTTTTAGTATCTATTGACACCCTACACAAAGTATGAAGCTTGAGAGAGTAGAAATATTTCTACATAGCTGGATGAAAACATTTCTGTAAAGCCAGAAATTGTCCACATCTTGCAAAATTTAAAGTTTTTGCCTAAGATGTTATCCTTTTAGAAGATAGAAGTATTAGACCACTACCAGCTCACCTATCCCGTGACTCAAATTTTCCGACTTGATACTATTCTGGGCATTATCTTGTACATATGTTTCTGTAAATATGTTTTCCTATTCTATTTTATGCATTGTATTATTTTAACTTGTATATGTATTCTACTTTACATATTTCACCCCACAGTTGTTTATTCGCTCTCAGTTCCTACTTCGTCAGGTCTCTTCTAATCTGAAGTTATTGTTTGGCTTTTCAGCTTTGTGACGTATGGTCACCCCCTTTTTTTTTCTTTCCATTCTAGATCTCCTTTGCTTAGCCATCCAAGCAGTTTCATGTTATGCGCCCATGAGGCATATGTGACCAAGCCAGATACATATCGAAATATCAGCGGTTCCCCGGCAATACTTGCATGGATTGGATTGGATTGGACTATGTCTTCAAGAAATGAAGAAAGGTATTTAGATTTTTGTTTGCAACGAGTCGGCAACTTAGGCTCACCGTTGACTTTAGCCTTAGGACTGTCAAGTGTAATTACGTCAATTTTTAGTTATTCTGACCAAGGCAAGTCGTAACATATTTTATTTAGGGCATAAAAAATTCTGAGCGCAACTAGGAAAAAAATTCTCGTTGGGAGCTGAATATATATATATATATATATTATATATATATATATAAGATAGGGCCGAAAAGGAAAAACAAATTGCAGCTAAGATGGAAAAATGGCTTCACGTGATGGTGAAACGGGTGAACCGTCAAACCATGCCGTAATTTCCGATGATGCTGAGATTCTAGAGGATATTAATATTTTTTGTTATTTCCATGACCAAAACGAAGAATTTTCATTTAAACCCCCAGACAGTCTACAAATCAGCATTTGAAAAACCGCCTTCTTCATCAACTTCAAATGAATAACTGGAGGTCACGACGCCATGAATCTCCTCATTTAGGTGGAGGTGGTCAGCAGGAACACGATGACTTAACTTTTAATTTATCCGACCCAAGCAGTTGATCAGTCACAGAAAAAATGAACGATCTTTCTTGCTTCTTCTTCTGATTTTTGAAAAATTGAAGTTGATCTTGTTCTGAGAAATGAAGAAATCAGCTGTGTTGTTGTTATTGTGACCTATCTCACGTTTTTGACAGTATTATCAGAGCAAGCCCACGAAATTCATTGTGGCGAGTCTCACCTCTCTTTCCTTACCACCAACCTCCCAAGAGGGCATTCGGCTCGCCGCATATTTAGAGTGCCCCCGTGCCGCACAGACATCCTTGCAACGCATCCATGCCTTGTTCGGGATTCAAATTCGAGTCCGTCGGTAATTCCGTCAGAGTTACT